CCTGTTCGATGTATTTTTTTGTGCCATCTCTTCAAGAGTCGTCAATTGGTCTCGTTTATTTTCTCGTAGGTGTCTCACACACACGCACGACGTTTTTTTAAAATATTGAAATGGGTTTTTTTCACTTTTTCTTCAGATGATAAAGAAAGTCTCGGATTTATTCTTCCTGAAATTTGAGCCTTCTTGAAGAGTTTTCTCCTGACATTTGTGTCCAGGACCGAAACTAGAATTGCCTGGGCAATTTTTTTTTTTTGGAAATTTGCTTATTTTCAGTTCACGATTCACCGGCCTCATCATCGCGCCCATTAACGGCGAACAGTAGCAGTGCGCACGCATCGCCAATGCGATCCTTGACAAGCGCATCCGGTGGCTTATACATCAGCGCACCCGGAAAAATCATTCTGTTCGGTGAACATGCTGTTGTTTATGGACGAGTTCGTTTGTTTCTTTTGCACTCGAATTTTCCATTCGTCGAACCTAGAATTATTCCTAAGCAGAAGCGAGCAAGATATCTTGTTTTTTTCGACTTCTGTTGTAAATTAGCTTCAATCATAATGCCAAAATTGCCTGGACAATCTTTATGGGTATTCCGCGTTAATGATTTCAGTGAGATGCTTCCATACATGTTAGAAGTAGCTATGCCAAGTCCTTTGGGCCCATCATAATAACACATATTAATATCGAATCCCAAAAATTTTTTCATAATTCGTCCTCTGTGTTAAACTGAAGCACTCGGAAGTAGCCTGTATCGCGGAAGTCCCACAAAAAGCCGGCAAAAATTGTATGCATGCTGCATCATTGAATGCTGCATCAGAGAATCTAAAATCCTATACAGGGGAACGGTGGTGTAGTGGGTAACACGTCGAGTACCACTTGTGAAGGGGGCTGGTTCGATTCTGCATCGATCCACAATTTTTTTTGAAACAGGTCTCTGTTCATGACAGCTTGTGCAGCTTGGCTTATGCCAATATCAACCACACACTGGTGGATCTGCTGAAGGTTTCGGTTTTCCAGGGTCTTCTTACAAGTAGACAAAACTTACTCCCCTAGTATGCTATAATATTAGTTGTCGTCGAAACGTATGAATGAATCGTAGAGGACTAGACTATCACATTGGGGTTTGGGACGTTCCATTTTTAGCTTGAAATTAACATCCCTAGCTTCTATGATGTTCATCTTTAATATCAATTGGCATACTAATTTTAGTTAACCACTACTTATCAATTTGCAGACAGCGGTAGCCGGTTCGATCGATCTGCGTACCTATGTTAGTTTATTCACTTCGGCCGATGGCAGGATATATTTATCGCTACCTGATCTCGGTGTGGAAAAAACATGGCTATTAAAGGATCTTTTGAGGGCTGGCGAACGTCTTTCTGGTTTATAATTTCTCAATTTTTTGCAACTAAAAAAATAGGATGCAGTGCTTATCTTCCTCCCTGAGATACTTCAGCGCACACTGAGTAAAGGCTTTTTCTGTAAAAGTTGTGAAAAATGCGGTAAGATCCGGAAAAAATGTAGGATTCAAAAATCCGAAAATACAGAGATTTTTTTTTCGGGGGTAGAGGGTTTCCTTGAAATTACGTGAACTTACAGCTAACTTCTCGGTGAACGCGCATCGCAAAGAACTTCATCACATAGTTCATTCATTAATAAATAGTCCTTTCTCCAGAACAGCTTCCCCCGTGTAATAGAAGGTTTTCTGAGAAATTACTTCTCCGTTTCCTAGTTTTTACTTCATTTATAATTCAAAAATACTGATTACTACTGCATCGCTTTCGCAGTATTCTATCTAGGAATCTAAAGTATGAAAGATGAACGATGTTAAACAGAGATTTCTGGTATGATAGCGCATCGAGAAACAACAAAAATTCACGAAAACCTCCCATTACCATACTTTCAGGAGCGTATTTTTTTTACAGAATGTACAGTTGAGGATGGATCGCCGCCATCCCTCGAATTACTTGTGCCTATTGCGCGAAAATTAAGTGGTTCGTGCGAGGATCAATGCGGTGTGCAA